ATTAAAATAAATATTATTCTTTTTTTATAAAAAAGACAACAAAGAAATTAGTAAAATCAAAAGTCCATCATCTTATCAAATATTTTTTATGAAATATATATTAATCAATTCAAAGAATTTCTAAGAAATTTTTAAAGAAATTATTTAATCTATTTATTTATTTATTTTTGAGGTTTATATTAAATTATATATTAATTACTCAAAAGACCATGGATTGGAACAAGACTTCAAAACAACTCAACTTTCTATTAAAAATTGATTCTTTCAAAGTCTATAACAAGCTCTATTAGAAATTTAATTTTAAAGCATTACAAAGACTTATGTTTGACAATTCCTTTCTTTATATGATTAAAATCAGTCTCTCAGGTACTAGCACAGTAGTAGGCATCAATATAGCTTTTCTAAACTACTTTTTAATAAAAAGATGTATTAGAGAAGGATGTCCTTTAGAACTTTACCTCTTCATCTTAATTAGTAAAATTTTTAATATCAAAATTTAACATGTTATTCAAAAATATTATCTATAAGATATTTCTATTATTAGAATATTTATTTAAAAGTCATTAATCAATATATTGATGACTCCACAATTAAAATCTATAATAAGAAAGAAAAAAATTTATATCAAAAAAATAATATCATGGAGTTTAGTTTGACTTTAGAACTTGAAATTTATTATATGAGGGAAATAATATCAAAGAATTAAATTTGACTTAAATTATTGAATTAAATTGGTCTAAATTTTTTATTGTATTAAGTGAAATTTAGCTTGAGAATGTATGAGGCATCTAGCTATAAAAAGGTTTGATAACACCTTAAAATTGGATTTACAACCAAAAAACAAAACAAAAAAAAAAAAAAAACAAACAAACAAACAAAACAAAACAAAACAAAAAAAACACAATTCAAAAATAACATTGGCAATCTTGAAAAAATCTCAAATAAAATCTAAAAATAATTTAAATTAAATATTCAAAAAATGACAAGAAATCCAAAAAAATTTAAAAAATAAAGAAATTTAAAAAAAAATCCTAAAAAAATCCAAAATAAATCTTGAAGAAATTCAAAATAATCCAAAGATATCTTTTAAAAATCCAAAAAAAAATATTAAAAGAAGCTTAGTTAAAATCAAAATAATTACTATAGCAATTTCAAATCTTAATAAATTCTACACCAATTATTAATCTTAGCTAGAAAACTTCATAGAAACCTTATTAAGTTTGCTCTATAAATCTATACTTTGATTAACAAAAATATATATATATATATATATATATATATATATATATATTTTCCATAGATATAGAATTTAGTACCTTACAATCTAGTTTCAACCTTGGTTCATAATTGACCCTCCATAGGTGTAAATCTAAGATTTATCTAAATAAATTTTCTTGTTTTCTATTCTCTTTTTTTACTTAAAGATTCTTATAATATTTTTATTTTTATTTTTATTAGATATTTTATTTTACCTTGTTTATGATTCTACAAAATAAGTAGAAACTTCTTTTTTAAAAATTTGCAACATTAAAACTTATTAGTTTTATTCCCTCCTTAATTAATATCTATATTTATAAGAGAATTTTCTACTATATTTCAAAATATAATACTTTCTTCTAATAGTTGTACTACAACATAATATATTTATTTTTTAGAAATAAACAAATTGGCTTAGTTAAGCTAATTTATATACGCAAAGGCATCTAACATTAGTATTGATAATCTCTTTGAAACCCCGTTTGATACTTCTTTGAATATATAAGTTGTTAATCAATTTTTATTATTAAAAAAATATATAAATATTTTATCAATACTCTACCAAAATCAACATAACAAGCTAAATCATTATTACAAATAATATTTTATTTTCCTCATCATATTACTTTTTAGCCATCAGTTGGCTCTATGGAGGCTATTTAAAAGTTTAAATATATGGTTTAAAAATAATTATAAAAATAATACTACTTCCTTAACTTTGTTAAAAATAGACTAGGTTATATTTTATAAAGCTCATGAAGAAGGTGGTCTTGGCATTATTAATTTGTAAGATGCCACCAAATCCTTCTTGATCAAATGGATGTTAATGGCTCTTCATTCAAGTGAAGCAAATATTCAAAAACAATTAAGATGTTAAATGATGAATGCTAAATGAACAACTTATAGGAATTGGATACTAAGTCTTGTCTTCTCATTGTCTTTAAATTATAAATGAAGTATAAGGTCTAAAATGTAGAATAAAATTAAAAACTTTTAGACTCACATGTATAAGTTTCTTAGGCTTAATCCTCCTATCTCTTTTTATATTATGTAATGTTATTTCTTATAGTTTAATATTATTTATTTTATTTTGTATATACCTAAAACTTCATTAAACTATAATTTTCTACTTAAATAGTCTTTATTATGTTTAGAATCACATTTTTAAAGGACTAATGTCTCCACATTCTATATAAATAGTTATTTTTAAATACTATGTTCCACTATTTCATAGATCTATTTAGGATTTTGTCTACGTTTATTTTCTAATATCTAAAATAATATACTTCATTATGATAATAGCCTTCTAAAATCCAATAATTGCATTGAATTATATAAATTAAGGTCTAATATTCTTCTTGATATAGTATTCTAACTCCCTTTAAACAATGTTGTTATAGAGGAAATAAGAGGTTTGTTCTACCTTATTCTATAGAAATAAATAAATTTTGAATAGAATTTTAGTATAGAACCTTCTCTTTTGATGACAAAATTATAAATGAGTAAGACTTCCAATCTTGCAAAAAAAAAAGCTCATTTGGCTTACATAGCAAAAAAGTGTAGTAGCTAATATTTAGAGAAAAAAAAATAGTATTAATATTGATATTTACTATGCTAAGTGTTAACTCCAAACACCTAAATCCAATCTATTTTGTTTTGGAATTGTCATCAAGTAGGTTACATTTTAGATTGGACTACTTCTCTTTTATACAAATTAAAATCCAATCCCTAGAACTGAGAACCTTACAAATCATTCTCTTGGCAAAAAGCAATTTTTTGCAAAAGAATTAACCTCTACATTCAAAAAAATTAATAAGATATAGTTCTTATTAAGAAAACTTTGTTTATAGACCATTTGGATTAAAAGAAATAGGTTTCTCTTTAAAAACAAAGTATGGAGTACATTCAATATTAAAAGCATAGTTTGGCAGGGTCTTATCAAATATTAATAAAATTATTGAAAATTTGTCAAAAACAACTTATCAAAATATTAGCACCATGAGTCTTACTTTTTAAAGAAGCAAAATAATTTCTAGATGGCTAATCACATATTTGGTTGCAGATGTGAAAAAATAATTAAATGGAACTCTAAAATACTTTGGTGTGGTGTAATTACACATAAAAGTATAAATGAGCTTGCTTTACAAGTTGGTTTTGTTTCTTATATTCTTTGATTTGCATCTAAGTTAAAGGAATTATGAAATTTGTTGTACATTTTCCACTCCATTAAGCCATTGAATACACATTGTTTATTTGTCCACAAAAAAAAAAAGAAAAAAAAGAAAAAAAAAGAAGACAAATAATAATATGTAAATAAATAAAAAATTAAAAATATAATAATTAGTATAATATTTTAGAATGAAAATAGTTTCTTTGAATTATTATTTTAGAAAATGTAAAATTTATATATATATACACATATATACATATAATAAATTAAACATGAAAAGTAAATAAATTAGAATTTTATATTTAAGTATAGTTTTAAAATAAAAACTTTATTAAAGAATAAAGATAGATTTTGACTACAATAAATATTATACTTGGTATTTTTTTAGTATCTAATGATTTTATTAATTTTAAAAATATTAATATTAATATTATAAAAAATATTTAACAAATTTTTATAATTTGAATAGGTTTTAGATTAATTTTGTATTAATTGTATGTCTATAAAATATAACTTTAAATATTATTAATAAATTATTTCTTGAAAATTTTAAGACAAATTCAAATAATATAGTCTATATATATATATTAGCATAGTAAATAAATTTAATTAAATATTTATATTAAAATAATAAAATAAAATATCTTATTGATTTTTTTTTGAATCTCAATTAAGATTTATTACTTGATCTTAAAAATAATTTTTGGTTACATAAGAAAAATGTTGTACTATTTAATTAGAAGAGAACTTGCAATTTGGTGGTTATCAAATGGTTATTAAAAGATAATAAGTCAAATAGTTTTGTGGTAAGTGGAATTAGAATCTCATTACACACAAATTTTTTTCAAGCAAAAATCAACCAAATGTTTTTACTTTCAAGAATTAAGAAAAAAAGAAAAAAGAAAAGTATTTTTAGAATGTTTAATCCAAGACTATAAGTACAATATTCAATGATATGATTTCTAGATTATTATCTATAATAAATACAAAAACCTGTTACTTTGAACTACATAATGTTTGTGCAATCTGACAAATTTCCATGACCCAATCTAAAGTAATGACTTTCTCCAACATGTGATACAACGTTTATGTTTATAAACTTTGATCGTACTGTACACCAAAAAGAGATATGTTAGTTGTACATAGAAATGTGAAAAGCAGACTTCAGTCTAAAACATACAGTAGTGGATGTGTGAATGAGTGGAAGTCATCGACAGAGAAGCCCTTCGATACTCAAAGCCAATGAATGATCAGACTATCTAATTACAAAAAGTAGCTGTTAGGCACGGGTTGCAAGAGATGTTCACTCTGGAGGACTTGTTAAATTCTGGTGGTTGTGGAAACAGATTGTTGACTGAGACATATGAATTCTTCGTGAAAATTGAAGTGGTGGCTTTCACCAGGATCATCCGTTACACTCTTTAATGATAACACAGTTTATGTGTGACCCTACCCAACAGCAATGTGGTCACACACCGCAATTATTGGCAGCTTCAGGGGTTGACTGTTGTTTAAAAGCCAAGCAAGGTACCTGGGTGAACGGTATAGTGTTGGACATCCAGATATATTGGACTTGAGTAGAAATCTTTGTTGTATGATGAGCTGCATCACAGCGATGTTTATTACCAAATCGATTTGCAATGGCAGCATGGTGCTTCTCAACCTAACACTCGCGTGTCAAAACTTGTATCTAACAAGATTACGGTAGAGGAACCCCTGAATCTACTAACACGGTCTCTTGCAAAGAGCTACACTATTGCCTAAATCTTTCAACTAAATCCACGTGTTTAACCCAATAGCTTAGAAATAACGCCTGCACCGACTGTCCTTCCTCCTTCTCGAAGGGCAAACCGTTGTCCTGCGTATATAGCCAAGAAAATTTACATAAGATGGTGCACAAGTCCCGACCGAATACAAAAACAGGATTTTTTCGCCTTTTTCTTCTTACATCATTTTTTAAAGCTGCCTGGAGTACAATGACAATGCACACTAGACTGTTTATTTTTTTCTATAATTGTTTCTCAAATTCAATGGTGGTAGACTACTAAGAAATAAACCCTTCTGAGGTGAGTACACATGTACTTCGCAAATTTTGGAGACGGGAGCTTACCGTGTTCAAGAGGGCAAGGAATGATTAGTTCGAACTGAGCAGTTAAATTGTCTCCAGGCATAACCATCTTGATATGCTCTGGAAGTTCAACCTTTCCAGTCACATCAGCAGTACGCAAGTAGAACTGAGGTCTGTAGTTGGAGAAGAAAGCAGTGTGTCTCCCTCCCTCTTCCTTGGTAAGAATGTAAACTTCTGCTTCGAACTTGGTGTTGGTCTTGACAGTGCCGGGCTTGCAAATGACCTGCACATGCAATACAAGAAATTGTAAAATCAATGATGTGAAACTCATCATACAAGGTCTCATCCAAGAGCAGTATTCAAATTACCAAAGAAAATCAAAAGAAGGAACTGCAATTCTAGAGTTTTAGCTGAGAACATTAATAAAACAGAAACTCACCTGCCCACGCTGCACTTCGTCTCTCTTAAGACCACGAATTAGAAGACCAACATTGTCTCCTGCCTATACCAACAAAACCATTCAACTTTAACAGCTTACTCAAAATGCCAGTCAAACTGAACAGAAAAATTCATGCTAGAAAATCGGCTTTCAAGAATCTTGTTATCTGACCACAGGGTTGGTAGGCCATGACCCCAAAAATACAAACACATCCTGGTTAATATATTACCTTAACCTTCACCTCGCAAGACTTGTTAATAGATTTAACAATACAAACATAAACTCGGGCCCTTTTAGGAAATTACCTGGCCTTGATCCAATTGCTTCTTGAACATCTCCACACCGGTAACAGTTGTCTTCAGATTGGGGCCCTGTAATAAATGAAGTCACAAAAAGTTCATTGAAGAGTTTGAAAAAATGCGACAAAAAAGTTCTCTTTCATTTGGATTCCAAAAACAGAAATCCGAAAAGGTATCGTACCGTGCGTAGTCCAACAACTTCCACCTCTTCACCAACTTTAACGATACCTTGTTCCACACGTCCAGTCACCACAGTTCCACGACCCTGACCACAGAAATAAGTAGTGTTAACGAAGGTAAACTACATGATACAACCATAGCCACCACTAGGCTTCCCTCAATCAGGACCTTGAGTTCCATGTCAGTGGATGCTGAAAATTTTTGGATCTTAAACAAAAGCTCAAAGATACAAATTTTATTTAATGATCAGAATGTGAGATTTTAAGCCTATTATGCGGATAACATTCTCAAGGACAATCTCGCCTGAATGGAGAAAACATCCTCAATTGGCATGAGGAAGGGTTTGTCGAGGTTGCGCTTGGGCTCAGGAATGTAAGAGTCAACAGCTTCCATCAATTTCAGAATCGAGTTCTTTCCAAGCTCCGGATTCGTTCCCTGCAGTGCAGCGAGAGCAGAACCTCTAACGATGGGAATATCGTCTCCTGGAAACTTGTAAAATGACAGCAACTCTGCACAAACGTGTCCAATACAAAAAAATTCAACATGTGAAGCACATTAAACTCCAACAGATTTAGATGGAAACCCACAGCAAAAGCGGGAGGTTTACCCCGCAACTCCATCTCCACTAGCTCCAACAACTCCTCGTCTTCCACAACATCCACTTTATTCAAGAAAACTACCAAAGATGGAACTCCGACCTGCGATGTTATCAAATGCAAGTAAGAGTTTTGAACCTTGGGCATCCAACTCCTCAAACATTGAAAGTGGCTACTGTAACTCTGTTGCGGCTATACATCTGATAATTTGATCACAAACTCTTTAAGATTCGGCTTAAAAACGTTTGCTAACCTGTCGAGCTAACAGTATATGCTCTTTGGTCTGAGGCATAGGCCCATCTGGAGCTGAAACCACCAGAATACCTCCATCCATTTGTGCAGCACCTGTGATCATGTTCTGTAAAACCAAACTCAATAGTTGAAAAAATAAGCTTCGTCTTCTCCGAGAAGACTATCAAAAGCGGGCTAGGATCTTATCATTTTTCCAAAGTAAATGCAGAGAAGGCAACAATGCTAAGACTGGTAACATAACTTTATAAGCATTACCTTAACATAATCAGCATGTCCTGGACAATCGACATGGGCATAGTGCCGATTTTCAGTTTCATACTCCACATGAGCCTGCAACACATCAGCAACATCATTTAGAAGGAACAAATACTACGACTACATCATCCTCATTTACCGAGTAACCAGAGTGACATTAAACAAAATATTTTATGAACGAATAGTGAAAGTGAAGAAATGTTGCAAAATAACATAGGCTCTGAAGTGTTTCCCATGGCAAAAGAGCTTACAGTAGCAATAGTGATACCACGCTGCTTTTCTTCTGGAGCTTTGTCGATCTCATCAAATGCGATTGACTTAGCCATACCTTCGTCAGCTAAAACCTGCTCAAGATAATCATGAACGCACAACGATATTGGTTAAACCCGAGCTACATTCAAAATCAAAATGAAATCATACTACTGGACGAGATTTAGCAAAAGATCTGAGCTTGAAAGAAACTTTCAGCTATTAAACAGATATATACATGCAGACAAGAAGTTGCTGAGGGCACCGAGGAAAACCTTGGTAATCGCTGCCGTAAGAGTGGTCTTTCCATGGTCCACATGTCCAATTGTTCCGATATTCATGTGCGGCTTACTGCAAAAAGCTCACTACAATTTAGAGCTTAAAACCTTTCCTAATCTGGCTCAAGGATTGAACAGATAATAGCATGAACAAAATCCCTGAGGTCGTCGTGACCTTTCAACCCTACCCCCTAAACCATAAGAACAAGTTCACAGCAGATTGTATTCCAAATCTCTTTCACCGGGGGGTCGCCTGTACCCAATTCCTAAGGTATTCGTCATTGTAGTAGGAAACAGCCTCCACACCACAATATGCAACTTTGACGACAGCGTGATGAATGGAATCCTGGTCGTGCAGCTGGTGATAAAACTGAAGAAGTCCATTTGTGCAATTCATGATTACTAAAATTCCATTTCGGTTGCTTTGAAGGCTATAATGTAACCACAATAGAAGTCGAACTGCCCAGTGAAAGAGATTTCGAACAATCGCAACCTTATCAATGAGGTCGAAAACATCAAAGTGCAACGTCCTCATGAAATCCTCTTCAAATCCTGCCTCGTGTCAATCATGATTTTTCTGAACACATCGAGTTTGTCTGACATATATACCGCAACATACGTTACGCCTGCTCGAAATGCCCTCACCGAACACATTCTCGCTATTCCAGAAAAAAACAGTGAAGCATAATTGCAGGACACCACAAATCAGTGGCACATTGAAAGCTCCAAAAAGTGGTAGGGAATGGTAAGAAATTAATGCACTTTCAGGATCTATCCTACTCACTTTCGGGTGAAGGTAGCCAGCGTGCGAACAGACACCAGCCCCTTCAAATAATTCCTCCATAGCGTCAGCTCCTGGGACCTAGCAGGCGATTCCAATGCATGGCGGCGGCTCTCGGTGGCGCTTGACGATGCAAATCCACACAAGTGGTGCGTGCAGATGGAGCTTTGAGGCAACACAAGCTTCAGTAACGAATGCGAACGCCGAGCTCGTGCGATCGTCGCTGCCATGGCCGATCGCTTAGACCTGTACCGCAACTCAATGCACCGTTTCTCAAATGCTGTCCACACGAACAAAATGTTGGCAAAGTCCGAGTTCCAGACACATGCGATGATCGAGCGCTCTCCTTGCGAGGGGCCGATGCGAGGAAGAGTCGGAATATGGCGATGGCCGATCGGACAAAATCCCCGTGAAACCCTAAATTCCGCGCCCACACCTTCACACATACACAAGGAGGGCGGCTTTCCATTTCCTTAATAAGGCTGGAGTTTGAGACCATTATTTTCAATGCTTATAAAACCATTGCATGTCATTCAGGAATTGCTATTTTCATTTTGTGCTTTTTGGTTTTGGAGGTAGATCTTGTGAAGAATAGAAGACGATATTAAGGTTGATAATGTGAAATTGCTTTTTGATTGATGAAAAGTACTTGTTTATGATATATATCTAATGCATGTTTTTATAAAAATAATAATAATACTAATATATGTATGTATGTATGTATGTATATTGTATATTGTATATGTATGTATTTTACATTTTATTTGAACATGTATAATATAATATACAAATTAAGAGAGTTTGGAACCAAATTATGATTAAGTCAAATGGTGTAATTTATATTCTTTTTTAAATGATTAAACAAATCTTTTTAGACAGTTTTTGAATTACAATTAACAGATAAATCAAATGAATAAATCATATTTTTAGAAATGATTTTTTTCTTCAAATTAAAGTACCAATAAATCGATTAAGTGTATTTATTGCACATGGTTTAAAATTATTCTGAAAAATATAGTTTTTTTGACAGCAAAAAAAATATTTTTTTATATTATAAATAACATTTCTTTGTTGATTTTTTTATTAAAATTTTAAAAAAACAAAAACAAAAACAAAAAGCCTAATTGCATTTTATTTTATTTTTTCAATGTTTGAATTCATTTGATTTAACAAGATTTGTACTCAGCATATATTTTAATAACAGAAAGTTGTCAATTGATTAAAAAATTAATACAAACTATTATTGCAAGAAGTAACTTAAATCTAATATAAGTGATTATATGTGGTTTTTATAATAATATTTTAAAATATACATAAAAAATTAAAAAATTAAACCATTGAAATTGGAATTGTTTCCATTTATACATCAAGAATATTTATTTAATACATATATAACATACAAACACACACATACACACACACACACACACACACACATATATATATATATATATATATATATATAATGTTTGCATTTATTATTATTATTATTATTATTATCATTATTTTCAGTGTTGGATTCTATAATGCAAATAATCTCAACTAGTTTATTTAAGATTGAAGACACATCTTATACATTTTTTTAGAGTATTGTCATAGAACTACTATATCATTGATTTTTTATTTTTTTTATCATTTTTTTATAGCAATTGCATTCCTTGATATTTATCAAAATACCTAAGTGACTCTTAGAAATTAATTTACAAAGAGATTGTCACCTAAAATCTACTTGTTATGATCTTTTGGCTAATTGATGTTGTGTGATACAATTAATCAATGGTCTTCCATTAGAATAGGACTTCTAAAGGTCTATCATATTAGATTATTAACATAATAGCTTTAAAGATAATACATTAAAATTTTAAAAAACTAATATTTATAGTCATAGTCATCAAGTCATAGTTTAAATAGTTATAATTATAAATTCCACTAAGTAGATTGTTATTCTAATTGATAAAAAAATTATCTTCTACAACGAATTGTGTATTATCAATACCTTTTTGTATCTTCTTTTTTGGTATTCAAAATGCATTATGCCAACATCTACAAGAATAGCAATGCTATATAATGCAAGCACTAGGGATCTTTAGACTACAAACAAACATACCTTACTTCATTTCTAGGGAGAAAAAATGTTATTATCTTCTTGTTCTTTATATATTAAAAAAATACTTCAAATCATCTATTTTGTAATAATTAGATTTTTATAAAATATAATTGATGGTTGCAAATTTCTATTTATTATTTTAAAAAATAAAAATAAATGAGAATGCTATTATTTTTATAATAAATAGCATATTTACTTATGTATTTACTTAAATAAGCATAACTAAGTTGAAGTAAGTAAGAATAGATTAATTTGTTGATATCTTATTGAAAAACTTTTTAGAAGCTTTGTAGACTTTACATGTGTTTAAAATTGATCAATAGGTTGACAACTTGGCCAATAAGTTGGACTTAAATTGCACCTTTAGCCTTTTTTATTAAAAATTGGTCATGTGGCATACATGTCAAAAACTTATTTTACGAATTAGTATCACAGACATACATATTTATTCCTATAATTACCTATATGATTAAGTAGAAGTCAATTAATTTCATGATATCTTCTAAAAAAGCTTCCTACAAGTTTCATAGATGCTGCTTTGATTTTATACATGTTTGTAATTAATTAGTAACCTAGAAACTTGATCAACAAGTTAATCACGTGACACATATATTAGTAGCTTGTGGAATAAGCTAACTACTTGGCATACATATAAATAATTTGCCTTGCAAGTTGAGTCATGGGGCTAGCAAAGTCAATAGATGTTAGAAGTCCTATAGAATATTGCCACATAGCTCTTAGTTATAGAGTATGTATGGAGGCAAGAATAAAGCCTTCTTCACTCTTATCAATGCCTTTCTAGTCTTTAGTCTTGTTTCAAGACTTTGTAGTCTTCTTGTCTTTGATTATAGCCATTCTAATTCAATATATTACCATTATTGAGTGATTTTATAGTCTTTTTGAGTGATACAAGAGTGTATTGGAGATTACTTTTTTAGAGATTTATGACCATGATAGTTTGATAAGAAAACTACCTCATTGTTCTTGTCTTGTTTTAGAAGTGAATGGATTACCTCACTTCTATTGTTGTATTTTGAAGGTTATAAATTACTTAGTTTTAAACAAATTGTTTAATTTTCTAACATTGATTTTTTCCTTAAAGAAAGTGGATTATCCCTCTTTGTAGAAATTTTCATTCAATATTAGAGGTTGCAAATTACCCTCTTCTAATTTGACTTGTGCATTTGTTAAGTTATTTGAAATAGAAGAAAAAATCATAGATGTTATATTTGAGAGAAGTGAAAATAGATTTGCAACTATTACAAGTCTTCATAAACTTATTAACACTCTTAGGGTGGGAATTTCATATATTACTAATGCCAACCATAAATTTTTTAATCCTATGCATATAGAAGAAGTTCCAAGTCTACATCAAAAAGTCGTGCAGTTGAAGGAAGTAAGTAGATTGACTTCATAACCAAATCTAAGAAGTTTTGCTTCTACAAGTACAATGGGAATACATATTAGTATGCTCGAGAAGTTTGATGGAACAAGATAAAAATTTTGAAGATTTTTGCAATAAGTCAAGCTCTATCTAAAGATGTATTTCTTTCAATATCTTGATGGATTTACTCAAGTTAGATTCATAGGTGCACTCATATCTGAAAATACTCTCTCTTGGTTTGTATCTTTGATGGAAAAGGATTTATGATTATTTTATGATTTGAATTCATTCTTAGAAGTGTTTATGGCCACATTTGAAAAAAGTGATTGAAAAAGAATAAAAAAGACAAAACTCTTATCTTTACAACAAGAATCATAGTTAACTACTATATATACTATTGAATTCCAAAATCTTATTTGCAACGTAGGCTAGAATGATAAAGCTCTTATCAATCAATTTTGATATGAATTGAAGGATAATGTCAAATATTTATTATTGATAATGTTGAAAGCAAAATCTTTGGAATAATTTATTACTCAAGCCATTCCATACAATAATCAATTATTTGAAAGGTGTTAAGAATAAAGACTTGCCTCGAAAAGAACAAGCTAAGTAATAACAACAACTCCTAAGTTTTCATCAAGATCAAAACTAATACAAATTAATATAACATATTTTAAATCTTTCATGGAGCAAAAAAATACTTGATGTTTTCAAGAAGGTTTGTGCTTATATTATAGAGAAGTTTAGTACACTATCTAATATTGTCCAATGAAGCAACAAAATTACAAAATAAAGAGCACAATTGTTAAAGAAGAAAAAGTGTTGAAAAATGAGTTTTTCTAGCTATAATAGAAACCATGCGGTTTTAATCATATGCAACACCTAATAAATGCCTTATTCTCTCTTCAAATCCCTTATCTTTTTTATAACAAATGTATATTTATGATTCTTTATGATTCCTAAAAATCACAAAGTCTTTACATTATTAGATTCAAAAGCCTCAACTTATTTTGTAGATGAAGACTTTGTCAGAAAATAAGAAATATCTTTAGTCTAAAAAATTAAACATATACAAGTAAAAGTCATAGTTGGTTGTTTGTTGTCTTCTGGAGATATTACCTATGAGACTATTTTTTAAGATGTAACAATTAAAGATCGTAATAGTATATTAATATGTAATGTCATAAGATCTCTATTTAATCTAATTATTTTAAGATTATTTAGGTTAAAAAAATATAATCCTTAAGAAGATTGAATTTTTCATAATCTTAATTTTTTTGATAGTTTAATCCAAAATTCCATTAATTAAGTAAAAAATTATAAGTCTAATATATCCAAATCCTTATTGGTAGGTGGGAGAGCTTTCATATATATTGTAAAAGAATGATCATCTTTTGCTATATATGCCATGTATATTTTTCATAGTGATAAGATGCTAAGTGGTATTTTTAGATAATATTAAGATTTTAAAGATATTTTTGAAAAAAAAAATGTAAATAATCTTTTAGAACATCGATCTTATGATTATTCAATTGATCTACAAGAAGAAACTCAACCATTATTTGGACCAATCTACAGCTTATTACAAAATGAGTTTGTTATATTAAAAAATTATATTGATAAGAATTTGGCTAAAAAATTCATATACCATTAAAAATCTTCTATAGGAGCTTATATCTTATTTTTAAAGAAAAAAGTTAAATCTCTATAAATATGCATAGACTATTAAAGATTTAACAAGACTACTATTAAGAATAGATATTTCCTACCTCTAATTTTAGGACTTCTTGATCAATCCAATTAAAAAAAGATCTATATAAAAATAAATCTATAAATAACATATAACTTGGTCTACATTAAAAAAAGAGATAAATAAAAGATTATTTTTTAAATTAGGTATAAACATTTTGAAAATAATATCATGCCTTTTGGATTCAAAAATATACTAGCTACTTTTCAACATTTTATGAATGACATTTTTTGTGCTT